CAGATGCAGATGGAGAGGACAAGACCATGCGGCATAAACACATAGAGACAGCTTACCTGAACAAGGAGGAGCTAAGGGCCATTAGACTGATAGCTGGGAAGGCAGCATGGGACTGACTCAGGCCCCTCTGAATATGGGTCTCAGCCAGAATGACTGAGCAGTCTAAGGGACCTCAGACAGTGGAGCCAGGATGTATCCCTGGTGCACAAAAGGACTTTGCAAACACATCCCCCATGGAGGGATAACTGCCTTAATCTAGAGACAGGAGAGAAGTCCTAGTCCCTACTCCACATGACCTGTCAGATCTACATGACCCCAACTGGATGGCATTCCCCTACATATGGAATTGGGGTGGGGGGATGGTAGGGGAGGGTGGTTAGAGTGCATGTGAGAGGGCAGAGAGGGTAAAAGGGAGGGAAGGAGGAAAGGAGGGTGGGAGGGAGGGAGGGAAGGAGAGAGGGAGGGAAGGAGGGAGGGAGAGGGAACTGGGATCGACATAGAAAATAATAAATTAAATTTAAAAAAACGCTTTGACTCCAAAATTTAAGTTCAAGGACAGGTTAATGGGGAAAAGGATTTCTATTTTTGTTTCCACAGAAAATGAAAAGCTCTGGATTCCTTCCAGACTAATGTGGTTTGATCTAGCCACACCACCTGAAACAGTGTACGAGGTGATCCTACATTCAAAACAGCTGGACAAAGCAGCCTTACAGACTACAGCCAGGATTTCTGAATCTTCTTCGAATCCCCCATGACATCGCCCTTTACCAGCAGGAAGTAGTTTGGAAAGAATGACACCCAAATTCCCAAATATTGTGTGTAAATGTTTGTTTTCATTTAAATGGACTTTGTTATATAAAATAAATTTAAAAAAAGAATTAAAAAAAAGAAAAAAAATAAGATGTTCTTGCAGGGAAGATATAATGCTGAGGAAAACATTGAACTCTGGATAGAAAATTCTAGATTCTGAATGGTGCTAAGTACTGATAACCTCTCAAGAGCTATCTACATCAATATCTGGAATCCAGCAAAAACCAGGTAACTGCTCAGCTCATATAGTGGAAAAGGTGAGAAGTTTCCTAATCTTAGGAATCTACCCAGACCCTCTGTCCACACAAGTGTTCTGGCTTCCATTAGTTTACTTAAACCTCATCACTTCAAACTCAGGGCTGGGACACAACCCCCATTTTACAAACAATGTGAGCACCTAACATTTAAGCCCTCACTATTGTCACAAGCGCCCATTCACTCAGTGGATGATGGAACAAAGAATTTGAAGTCAAGTCTATGTCATCATACTTTTTATACTATCTAAAGTCCTTTAGACCCAGGGCTCAGAAACAGTGTCATACAACAGTGTTGGTAAGTGATGACATTGTAGAGGCATAACTATGGAACCTATATATACATTTTTGGGCCTTCCCATACAGGGTTGTGATACATCTGTGGGTAATCAAATCAAATTAATGACTCAGGATCCACACTCAAACAGGACAAAAAGGAGATGGAGTTTGGGGAGAAAAGAAAAAAGAAGGAAAGGAGAAAACTAGGAAAAAAAAGAAGATGTTGCCCCATATGTAGTTAAAATAGTATTCTTAGCTGGGTGTTGGTGGCATACACCTTTAATTCCAACACGCAGGAGGCAGAGGCAGGTAAATCTCTGTGAGTTCAAGGCCAGCCTGGTCTACTGGTCTACAGAGCTAGTTCCAGGACACGCTCCAAAATAATACAAAGAAACCCTGTCTTGAAAAACCAAAAAATAATTATATTCTTCCATGAAACATTTGTTCCATTATAATGTTGTAGTTGCATGTTGAGTTGTAGAAAAAAAAAAGTCTAACTGTGGGTTTTAGTACAAAGAGGTGATTAAATTTTATCACAGCTCACTAATCATAAGGAAAATAAAAATTAAGAGTAACAAGATGTCACATTTCCAGAGGCAAAAAAATGTAGAAACAGTCTGAATGCCTATCAACACAGAAATGATGGAACAAATTGTTACATATACACACTATACTTGTTAAAGAATGGCTTAGGTCTATACATACTTAACCAGAATAATTCTCCATGATTAAATAGGAAAAGCATTGTAGATAAACAAATCCATGTGATATGACCATATTTCTGAATCATCAATCATGAAATATCTAACACAATGGATTTTGTGGCAGACTGGGAGGAGGATGGTAGAAAAGGAGAATAGACAGAAAGAAAAAGAACAAGAAAACTTGTTGTCAATCAGGAAAAACAAGGACATGACTTACTCAGAGATCCTTAGGAAAAAGAACATTTGCAGAGTAAGTGCCAAATAATTTAATAAAGTGACTACCATATCCCCTAGTATCTGAAGTAGATGGGTTACAGGATACCCCAACCATAATACAGAAATCCATGCATGCCTAAGTTCCTTATATAGTGTGTCATGGTATTTATGAAGAACCTACACACATCCTTCCACACACTATTAAGATTTTTAAAAAAGTTATTTTATTTTTATATGTATGTGTGGTTTGACTGCATGTATGCTTGTACATGCACCACATATGGGACTGGTACACAGAGAGGCCAGCAGAGAACTGGAGCAACAGATGGTTGTGAATTACCAGGTGGGTGCTGAGAACCAAACGTAGGTCTACTGCAAAAGACACAAGTGCTCCAAACTGCTAAGCCATCTCTCCAGCCTCCCCTCAGATACACTTTAAATCACCTGTAGGTATCTTATACCTAATGAAATGTAAATGCTATGAAAAACAGGTCCATGACATTTAGAAAAAAATGACAAGAGGAAATTATCTGTAAATGTTCAGTGTAGACAATTTTTTTTCTTGATTATTTTTCCAGGTGTGATTGGTTGCAGTTAGAGATGTAGAATCTGTGGGTATGGGTGTCTGATGATATTTACAATGTTGTAGGCTGGAAATAGGACCCCTGCCCCCACCAAAAAGAGAAAACAGGAAATCTTCTAGTTTCCAGAGAGTGTTAATAGAAAGGGGCCAGTGCAAAGTACAACACCCTGGGTCTGAAGAAACATTTGAGGGCATTTATTGCAGTTATATTGATTGACCTCTAAGCAGGTGCTATACATCTAGAAGATGTGATTGACAGGGAAGGAGATGATTTCTCCTATCTCTCACTTGTCACTTCCTTGCCAGTACAGTTCTCTGGCTATGCTTAAGGGCTAAGGGACCAATAGATACAGCCTAGAAATATCATCCCTAGCTCCATGAAAAGGGAACACCTGGTCATGTCATTTTCATCCTTATAATTTGTCAATGGTACATCTTAAAGTAACTTTTAAATGTGGACAGAGACGTAGCTCAGTGCCTGCCTAGCATGATTTAGGGCTTGAACTCAATCTCCAGCCCTGGGTATATGATCCCATATACCACAAAAAATAACCAATAATTGAAAGAAATGAAGTGAGCCAGTGTGTGGTGGTGGTGGATTACTATAATTCTAGCACTTGCGTGGTGGAAGCAGGAAGATCAAGAGTTCAAAGTCATTCTCAGCTACATATAGAGCTTGGGTTTCATGTCAGCCTGTTATATTTTCTTTTTAACTTAATGCTTGCATTGGAAATAATGACTACCATTACTAGATTATTGTAAACATATATCAAATTGCCACATCATGTTGCATAAATGTGTGCAATTAAAATAATTTTTAAAATAGAAATAAAAATAGATATTTATTAGTGGCCTCCAGTCTTTCCAGAGCAGTATTCAAACTTCAACCAACCTTTTAGGCATCACCAACCTCATCCTTCTCTATGCTTCCCCACAGGCCTTCACTCCAACCATAGCAGTTTCTCTGGTGCCCCAAGTCCCAGAGCACTGTTAGTAATGCCTTTGCCAAAGCACCACGTTACGTTACTTTCCTACCATAGTTATTCTCACTATTCATTTCTAAAATGTCAAGTGAGACCTTCCCAAGATGATGCCCTATTCTTCATCCTAATTTAGAAGTAGCTATGTTCATTTCACAGCATCCTATGCAGATTGTTCAAGTCAACCCCAAATCATGAGTGATTCCACATCAGGAATAGGATCCTTCAAGGGGAGCAGTTATGCTTGAATGCCAGCACAAATCAGAGAACATGTTGAGAATGGAACCTTAATCTTCATTATCTGAAAGTTATGTGTATGAGTGAATGAAGTTTGGAACTTAAGTCACCTGACGACATTCAGCTAAGTGGAGGAGCCAGATTTCAACTCCACCTCTGTTGACTGCAATGAATCATACTGTCCCTCAACCAACTGGAAGTTCTAAGGTTTTCCCTGATTCTCCAAAGAAGCTGTGTGCATAAGAGGCCTAATGCCAGAGGCACTAGGCAAACCAAAGACAGAATGAACTAGTCAGCAGAGACACAATAAATACATGACATTTGCTTTATCAAGGGACTGTACCAGGACAATTAATTTCTGGAGCATGTTAAAATACAAACCACTACCCCCACCCACTCCTTAAAGACAACTACGTAGATCTTAGAGAATGCAGACAATTCCACAATGCTGAGGCCCCCATCTGATCATAATGATCTCTTTTTCCTAAGCAAGCATTTTCCTATTGAATTTTCCTTTTCAAATTGGCTACAACTGTAGAATGTGAATCTCCATTCACTATAGATTCATACATGGTAAACCTGCACACAAAACCACAGATATACTGAGGGTTCTTGACATAGATACCATCTGAGATTTGTTGTTACAGATTATGATGATGTTACCAGGATCCCTTGATAAGAATGTAACCTATTATCATATTTTCTATATAAATGGATGTAAGTGAAGTTAAAAACTATTCAACTACAAAAGAAAAGTTCTGTTCTTCTAGAGAAGTTGTTTCCTCAGCATGGAGAGAAAATTAGTCTTCAACAGAAATACCCAGAATATACCATTGTTGCTACATTCTATTGAAAATAATTTAAAGATACAAGATGTCAAAAATATAAAGGAGGTGAGGCATCCATAGCTGATTCCTAAAGTAAGCATAAAATTTACCTCTTTAAGGTATGGCGGGGATTGTAGTTCAGGTGTTGGATTCATTCTCCAGTTCAGCAGAGAGAAAAATAATTCGTAATTTATCTGATGTTCTTTGTCTTCAAACCTGAAAGAATATAATTTGACTCAATCTGCAGAATTTAGAACCACATTCCAGCTTACATTTTACCTTAAACTATATTATCACATATGCTTCAGTGGCTAATGTTATCATTTCTTATCTGTAAACTTCTGATCCCCCTCAGAATAGACATTATTTGAAAGCAGGAATCTCAACTATCAAATTTTCAAGTGGTAGTGGATAGTAGAAATTCAATAAACATTTGTTGTAGTTACCAAACAAACATATTTTGGTAGCTAAGACCAACACTATGTTTTGTTCAGAATATTCAATGTTCTTTTCATTTTAGTAGTTGATACATGTCAATAAAATAAAGTGCTCTCTTAGTTCATAATTACATACCATTTGAATGTTTAAAACAAGCCTGGATGGATTTTGTCTATTAGTATATTTTTTTAAGAAAAGCAAGGGGCTGGAGAGATGGCTTAGTAGTTAAGAGCACTGGCTGATCTTCCAGAGGTCCTCAGTTCAATTCCCAGCAACCACATGGTAGCTTACAACCATCTATAGTGGGATCTGATACCCTCTTCTGACAAAGTAGTTAGAACACTCATATACAAAGATAAATAAATAAATCTTTAAAGAAAAAAGAAAAGTAAAAGGCATCTTTGTCACTTATTATATAGCCATTAAAAGAGGTTATTTAGATCCATATTAGAAGTGACAGAAATATAATATTGCATAGAGTATAAAGAATATTACAAAATAGTATGTACAGTTTTAAGGTTTTTATCTTGTTTTTATTATTTTTAATTTATGCATTATGTGCTAGTCTATGTATGGGTACATACATGTGAGTGCCATGTCCATGATAAAGCCCAGAAGAGGGGGTCAGATACCCAAGAACTGAAGTCACAGGCAGTTGTGACCTGTGTGATGTGGGTGCCAGGAAGTAAACCCAGTTGCAAGAATGTTACATACACACTTTTAATCACTTAGTCATCTCTCTAAGCCCATATGTACAGTTCTGACTCTGCTTTAGGTTTATATTTACATAAAGCAATAGAAAAATGGCAACAATATAATAAGAAAACCATCTCTAGAAAATCAAATGGTTTTTTTGGCCTTATTATGACTAATTTGTATCATCTGATTTATTTAAATTTATAATCAGAAAAAAAAACCCAAGCCAATTTTCACTTGGAACAAAGAATAACAAATGATTATCCTGTTTCACAAAAGTTAGGTAAAAACCAATGAATCTTTTTTTAAACAAATTATTAATTTTTATTTTACATTCCAATCTCAGTTCCCCCTTCCTCCTCTCCTCCCGCTCTCCCCACTCTCCCTTACCTCCCATCTACTCCTTGGAGAAGGTAAGGCCTCCCCTAAGAAGTCTACTAAATCTGTCCTACCATCTCCTTGAGGCATGACCAAGGCACCTGTCCACCTTCCACACCTCTGTATCTAGGCTGGGCAAGGTATCTCTCCATATAGAATGGACTCCACTAAGTCAGTCTGCATATTAGTGTTAGATCTTGGACCCACTGGCAGTGACCTCATATACTGCCCCAGTTACACCATTGTCACTTATACTAAGGGAGTCTAGTTCGATCTTATGCAGGTTCCCCATTTGTCCGACCTGAGTCAGTGATCTCTCACTAGCTCTGGTCAGCTGATTTTGTGGATTTCCCCACCATGGTCTTGACTCCTTTGTTCATATCATCACTCCTGCCTCACTTTGATTGTATTCTAGGAGCTTGGCCCAATGGTTAGTTGTAGATTTCTGCATCTGCTTCCATCTGTTTCTGGAAGAGAGCTCTCTGAGGTTGTGGATTATAGACTGGGTATCATTGGTTTTATGTCTGGTATGTACTTATGAGTGAATACATACTACATTTGTCTTTTTGGGTTACTTCATTCAGGATGATTTTTTCCAGTTCTGTCCATTTGCCTGCAAATTTTAGGGTGTCACTGTTTCTTACTGCTGAGTAAGAAACAATGACTGCTCCATTGTGTAAATATACCATGTTTTCTTCATCCATTCTTCAGTTGAGAGGCGTCTAGGTTGTTTCCAAGATCTGGCTATTATGAATAATGTTGCTATGAACATAGTTGAGCAAATGTCCTTGTGGTACACCACAAGGAGTGACCACCTGAACACTGGGCAAAAGTAATGAATATTAAATTATGGCTATTGTGTTAAATTCATCCTCAATTTTACACAACAAACTGATTACTAAGATATGATCATTTCAGCATAATTATTGTAATGATCCAAATAGTAACTAACTACTTCTTGATGTAATACCTTAAGCCATTTTTCCTGAATTTGGCCACATCCTGACAAATTTTCACACAAATTATTTATTGATCTCCTTATACCAATATTTAGGGAAATGATAAAGGTATCAAAAAGATATCATTCCAAGCACCCTGCTCCAGGATTCTACCTTAAAATAACATGTGCACAAATAGTCAAAAGATGTTTGTCTTTTCTTTCCAAATTATTAAGGGAACAATAGCTAGTATTTACAAATTCATAAAAACTCAGAGCACCCAAAATGTTACAAGCTGAAGTAATATAGATTTCATCCATCTAAACAGAGTGGAATAAACAGAGTTGTCAGAACACAGGAAATGAAATTCTATAATTCCTTTGTGTACATTTTCTTTTGCCAAGAATCCTGGGATACAACTCTAACATGTTGCCCCCTACCACTGTTTATCCTTTAAATTTTGGCTCACTCATCATTTCAACTCTTTTAAAGGACATCCTCTGTTTATGAGCATATTTATAGCCAAAATGTGGGATCATGATGTCTTTTATTTGTATATGTTTCTGGCGAACAACTAAAACTTAACTGAAGATGTTTGGTGAGAAGCATTCCATTAGCAGAGAGTCTTAAAGAAAACATTTCTTAATATTCTGAGTGGGACCTGAGGTCAGAGAAGAAGACCATACAGAACCTTTTACTTTCATTCTGAGAAAATTTAGGAGCTACTGGAGTATATTCTACAGAAAAGTTACTTATAGGACCTGCAATTTTGAATGATAAGGTCCTTTCCAAATTCATGCACTAAACCTTAAGCACCAAGGTGATGAGATTAAGAGATGAGATGTGTATAGATCATAGGGCAAAAACTTCCTGAAACCAGTCCACTGGAGCATGTCATGGTAGTACACATCTGTCATTTCAGTACCAAGAAGATAAGTAACAGTGATAGAGGTGGGAGTTTGAGGACATCTAGAGCTACATAGTAATACCCTGTCTCAAACTACCAGAAATACATAAGAAAATAAGATAGAAGGGAAGAGACCACAGAGAAATTCCTTGCTCCTTCCATGTGTGGGCATAGAATGAAGGAGCCATTCAAAAAGTGGGTATAAGGGCTCTCAACCAGACATTCTGAATGTGTTAGAAATTTACTTTCTTTGTTTTCTAATTTCTCACTTGCCAGAATTGTAAAAAGCAGTTTTAATCTATGACATATTCTTACAGCGGCCTAACAAGTCTAAAATAGTACCTGACATATATTTAAAGCTTATTCTAATATTCTAACTGATATGAGTGAGACACTGCGACAGAAGTACTTAGTGATCTCTTTCAAGCAGTCCAGATAGGCATGATGGTGGTGTGGACAAAGGTGGTGACAGTGAGGAATTGTCCATTCTGAATGAACTTTGAATGTAGGCTTCCTGAAAGGCCACAGACACACACATGCACAAATACAAACATACACAACGGGGTAGGGAGGTGGGTTTGAAGATGATTTTAAGGCTTCTGGTTGAGAAATTGGTTAGAGAGGGCTGCAGAAGGAAGGCAAAAGCCAGAGTTTAGTTTTAGATATGCTACTTTTAAAGAAGAATTTTTAAATTTCTCTTATTTATGTGCATGTTTGTATGTGTCTGCCTGTGCAAGGGTGTAACACACATATATGTGCCCATAGAGGCCAAAAGAGGACATCAGATTCTCTGGAACTAGAGCTATAAGCAGTTGTGGCTGTCCCAATATGAATACTGGTAAACAAACTTGGGTCCTCTGGAAGAGCAGCAAGTCCTCCTAACTGCTGAGCCACATCTCTGACTAAATATAATACTTTTAACTGAGACATGAGAACAGAGGCAATGAGTCCAAAGATCAAAGAGGAGGTCCCTCTGAAGATTTAAGATACAAGAAACATTTTCTAATCATTTGCTAAATAGATGATATTTTTATAGGCATAAGACTGGGAAAGTGGATGAAATCACCAATAAAATAATTGTTTCTACATGCTCTTACAGAAGAGAATGCAATTGTCAGGAAATTCCCACAACAAGAATTCAAGAGGGCACTCAATCAATCCTAGAGTTTAGAATCATAGTAGTTCACTAATTTGGGAACAACTCAATATCCTTACCAAATAGATCTGGGCTCACATCCAACTTCATTCCTCATATATACAATCTACTGTGAGCTAAAACTACTTCAGCATATTACAAATCTACCTAACCTCTCCACCTCTTTCACTACTCTCTAATCTAAAGTACTTTCACCACTCACTAGGACTATAGCAACAGTTTCCCATCTTGAGTTATTCTTCCTGTCTACTCTTATGTTGCACTTATGCTGGCTTATGTTACTCTTATGTTACTTTTATGCTGGCTCTTATAGAGTCATTCTGTTACTTCTTTGCTTGAAATTGTCCAGTGGTTGCCCATTGGATTCAGAATATAACTTAAGATTCTTAGCCAGGTATACAAAACCCAGCTTAATTTGGCCCCTGCTGACAATCTCTGATCACAAATGTTACCTGAAAACTCTCTCTCTCTCTCTCTCTCTCTCTCTCTCTCTCTCTCTCTCTCTCTCAGAAGGTCTACAGGCCTTCTGTTTCCCTGATCATACCCAGAAATGCAAGACATTTGTACCTTCTGCTCCCTTTGTCTGTGTGAATTCAGTTCAAATAAAAGCTTCCTTAAGATCTTCCTGAAGGAAGTTCATCCTAGATGAAGTCTTTTGTCTAGATTTATATTTACCCTGGACTTGCATTGGCACTCAGAAAAA